ATTATTCGCACTTCAATAGTTACTTATTCCTGTATTTAGGCACCGCATTTACAGGTATATATACTCAAGTTGTCAATACTGCGTGTCGGACGCTAAGCTATCCCATTTACAAAGGGGTGCTGCTACTGAATGCGTGCCGCCACTGCATGTCACACACAATGAAGGTCAGATATGGCGGAAGGCCGCCGGACACAGCCGGACGCAGGACGGATTCCCAAACTGACGGTAAATTACGAATGTGCTTTTTAGATGAATTACAGATCTGCCGAATCGATGCCGGTGCGTGCCACGTTGCGTTGGTCTAACCCCCTTGCAGCATAGGGAGCTGTGTGTGACAGTCATGTGACAGCCGGACTGCTCAGAATCTACCTCTAAAGCTCGGTTTGTTGCGGCATCTCACAACTCAGCTCAAAATTGTCATCTTCCTGGTAGAAATGATAATAAAGGTAATACTCTATTAGATTATGAAATATTTACATGATTCATTGGGTATTTGGAGCCAGCGGCAATGAGAAGGTCGGTTTGCGCAGTAACTAGTGGAGGGATAGTATCTTATCTCCTCCAGACAGATTGTTTAAGGTTTTTGATGAAAGAGCGATGTTTCCTCTATTCTGCTATACATATCCACCCGAAATAAATAACTGAATCTTTCCAGGATGAGCTTTAGACACACCATTCAAGGTAATCGATATGATCAGCTGGTAATTCGTAAACTTCTAGCTATTCCGCAACAGCCTTTCAAGGTCGGCCTCGAGACCGCCGATGCTACCTGTTCAAGAGAGCCAACTAGATATTCCATCTGAAAAGAGAATAGGTCATCAGCTAATAATAAACCTTCAACTTCGAAGCTGACTAGTAGTGGCTTTGACTCCCTATTATTATTATGATGATGATATTGGATTAGGATGGATTTTACTCTTTTATAGTCTATTTTAACCTTCATACCCGCTTTCAACGAGAAAAAGAAAAGCTGGACGCCAAATACATCTAGATGAGACCTAATCCCATCATCGATTTAATCCCCATTTCCCCATCCAACACTTCCGAGTCCGTTATTTACCTTGTGGTGAGAAGAGGCCGACTGCAGACCGCGGCACCCGGAGAGTAACACAACGCATGAGGTATTCGGTCATCACTAGATAAGCACTGAAATGGAGCAGTAAAGTAACCAGAACTTAGTAATATACGGAATAGAATATAACGAGGATGAAAGAATAACTCAGCTGGCTGTACGCTGTGAATGAAACTTGTCCAAGAATAAAGCGAGTTTGCTGAATCGGGGTGATTTTGATTCCCTCTTCCAATGGTCAATGTGGTGAAACAAAAGTAGGAATAATTATCATGAGGACCCAGCATTTGGATTGCTATTACTCTTCAAGCTTCAAGCTTCAAGCTCTTGAGCCTAGTTTCACCGAGAAAAGAACATGTAATGTAATCGCGCGTTCATAGGCAACATCACATGTCACAAGAGGGGGTGTTGCGTTGTCTAAATGCTTGTTTGTCACAGGTCATGACTCATTCGGGGGGTGTTGCCTAGATCCACCGAGACGCTAAGTTCCATACTTAGTAATATCAACTCTACCCCACCCAACAATTCCGTTGCTTGTCTTGAATCTCTAATATTATGTGTATTTTGACTTGCGTATCCTTACGGCAGAGTAAAGGAATGACAAGTTACCGTCGTGGGAATTATGATACCGCGTCATTGCTCGGCTGGAGATCGGTGGCAATTGCCGGCGGGCCGCGGCACGTATTTAAAGGAAGCTTCCAATCCTCACGTCACTTACACTACTACTCACTGACTTCCAACTCTACAATATCGACAATGGTGCAAACCGTACGCCTTGGTGGAACTGACATCGAAGTTGCAGCGATAGGGCATGGCCTTATGCTTATGACGTACGTTGGAAATTTTGCTTTTCTCAATATTCAGCGTGCTTATCAGGTAATCAAGATGGACACCCACACCGGTATCCGATGAGCAAGCGTTTGAAGCTATTATCAAAGGCGTTGATGCTGCAGGAGGAGCAAAAATACTCTTAAACAGCGGTACGTTATTCAAACTCTCGCGAGCGATTATTGCCAAATCAGCCCAAATCAGGCGAATTCTACGGCCAGAACTTTTCAACGGCGAATCTTGAATTGCTTGCACGCTTTTACAAGAAATACCCCGAGTATGCCGACAAGACGGTTTTGTCAGTGAAGGTATGTCTTCCTTTAAGTACCTATTGACGATGCATTCTGAGTTTGAGCAGGGAGGTGTCGATCTCGCAAATGGTAGTGGACCAATTGCAAGGTATTTATATGACTATCTTCTAGTCAAACTTCATCTCTCATAATAAATAAGCCTCGAATTCCTCCGCAAATCGATCGACAATATCAATGCTAAGCTTGAAGGAACAAAGCACGTCGATATCTTCGAATCCGCGCGCGTAGACCCTAACAGGTCGATCGAGGAAGCAATGAACAACATGAAGACGCTTATCGAAGAAGGTAAATTTGGTCACGTCGGGCTCAGCGAGTGCAGTGCGGAAACGCTCCGTCGCGCCAATGCCGTTGTCCCTGTTGCTGCCGTTGAGATTGAAGTTTCTCCATTCTCTTATGAAGAAGAAACCCGGAAAGGTACGTGAATTTAAACCTATATCATTCAAGTTCTGGAACTGAAGCATAATCTAATAGTAATCGCCACTGCTAAGGAATTGAATATCCCTGTCGCAGCTTACAGTCCTCTTGGTCGTGGTTTCCTCACTGGCCAAATTACCAAGCTTGAAGATATCCCCGAGGGTGACATGCGTCATCATCTCGAACGATTCAAACCAGAGGTAAATAAGCCACCTTTAATCCACGCCATCGATTCTCACATATTCACAGAACTTCTCGCATAACCTCACACTGGTCGACGCCCTGAAAACAATCGCGGCGAAGAAGGGCGTCAGCCCTGGTCAGCTCGCTCTCGCTTGGGTACGGTCACTGGGACCCCATATGTTGCCTATTCCAGGATCATCGTACGTTTGGTGTCTTAATTTACATTCAAATATGACCTCTGACCGCCAATCCAGCAAAGCGAGTCGTACAATTGAGAACCTCCAGGCTGCCGATATTACCCTTACAGAAGACGAAAAAGCTGAAATCAATGGGATCTTGGATACAATCCAGGTGAAGGGAGCACGGTATCAGGCATCCACACCCGGTCTTTGGGGTTAAACATTTCCGTCTTTATCTTGTTTACTATGTATTCCTTCGTCAGAGCTTTGTAACTATTCAATTAAATGACCCTTTCTTGCCTTCTTGTTGGTGGCTGAGACCGGCATCAGGAAAGCTGACCACGGCGCGCATTTTTCCATAGTAGCCTTCCATGGTAGATGACAGTACCGACATTCAGCAGGGAGACAATGCCGATACTACTTTATAATACCAAATTATCGGATGAAAATATATTTATATCATAGGCAGGAATGCTCGAGCGAGGCATCTAAATGTAGTACTATAGAAGGTATCGTAGTTGTCAACAAAGTATGGGAGCTAGCGGCGCTATAGTTGTAATAATCCACTATAATAGCAACTATATCATTTGCCAACTTTCCTGATGTGGTCTCGCACACTATACCGTTGACTCCGATTGAAGAGATGTTTATAATGTTTCATTCAAATGATTATGTTGAGGCTAAGTTGTGCAGGAATACAACAGCAAAGAAACCATAACTGAAACATGAGAGGCAACTTGCTACTGCTGGCAATGCCTCCGTGATGTGACCAAATAAATATCATTAAAAAATTGGCGAAAAATAGCAACTCCAGGTTTCGATCCTGGGACATCAGGGTTATGGGCCCTGCGCGCTTCCACTGCGCCAAGTTGCTGGATAAATATTTCGTAATACATTGGATTGCGGTGGCTAGTAAGACCAGCTATATTTTAATATACTATTACTCGATACATCAGTAGTAGTAAAACTCTTTTCCCGCCACTGTATAAAATTATTCTGTTTCTTCTTTTCTTCCGGCAGGATTATACGACTGGTTACCTCCCTATTTTCCGCCGACAGACAACTGTTGAATCATATGTACAATGCTGAAATAACCAGTCGGTAATTCCATGGGGCTAAGCTTGATAGCATGATCCTGGTTGGCAAGGAAACTCGCTGTAAAGGATGCTCCCTGATACACCGGCTTGTGCAAAACCTCAAGAACGATGTTGTTCACAATCGCATATTGTAGGCATGCCTTGGCTAAAATAAATGCCACTGAGTCAAATGGACTAATCAAGGCATAGCAAAGCTGTGAATAATATATGTAGTCAGCGACACTCCGAATACACTGCGAGAAAGGCCTTACTAAATTCCAAACAGCCTTCTTTCCTTGTTCCACCGGTAGACGCGACAAGATAAAGTACACTTGTTCCAATGAGATGTTCGTAGTATCCGTAGGTATGGTGAACGTGATCGGTTCCGGTCTCTTCTCTTCAACTTCATCCTCGGGATTCGATTGCGAGTCGGACGCTTCAGCCTGATTCTGAGGATAGTCGATGTAATCCTCGTAGCTGTCCTCGTTCGTCGGAAGGGCAGAGTTCTGGTTAGAAGGAACCTTCATTTTACCAGAATATGTTTTGAGGTTCTGAAGAGGGGTTCTTAAAGAAAACAGAAAAGGTGGTTAGGAAGAAGGAGGGAAACCCCGATTAAAGGGGGCTTCCCCCAAATCCCCTTTTCGAGTAACAGCACGTCACGTCAGAGTAGAAGTAGAGGTGAGACGTTCTGATATTCTTTAACTTACTTATCCTTGAGATATACTTCGCGTTACGTGGAGGAAATATTCTGAGGGTATATACCGAGTGTTACATTACGGTGCAGTGATGAGATATCAGGTAACTTGGTGCAGGGGAAGCGCGCAGGGCTCATAACCCTGATGTCCCAGGATCGAAACCTAGAGTTGCTATTTTTGCATATCTTCGTATTTGACTCTGAAGGACGTTATGGCATAGAGGTGAGGTGATAAGTGGCAACAGCGCCTTGCTAGCTCAATCGGTAGAGCGTGAGACTCTTAATAAGTAAATCTCAAGGTTGCGGGTTCGACCCCCGCGTGGGGCTAGTTTCTTATTCTTTTTCATGAAAATCTCAAGACGAAGAGGATATGAGCCTTACGCCTGAAACGGGGCCCAATGCGCACGGCTTGAACACGGCCGTTTCAATCGGAGACTGAAACAGTGCTTACGTGATGGATCTTGAACTGCTTTCTGCTTTCAACCCAACTGTGCTTTCTTAGTCTCATGAAGGCTGCATATTCTAGTTTCACTTCTGCCGCGTGGAAGAAATCAGGAATAATCTTAGCTTCGGATCCGAAATCCGAATGATTCTGTCGGGACTCCTCGACTGGCAACGACCGGTTTCAGTGTAGTTCGCCTTATCATGTTCAAAAGTGTGTTATGAGTTATACTCATTTTAGTCAACCTTTTTTTTGATCTAGCTTATCCAGTGCCGGCAGCTCTCAAACGTTTAAACGTTCTACGGTCATTCAGTTCAATGAAATATAAACTTAGCTGTATTGTCGATCGTTTTTTGTACCTTGGCTACAATAGTGATTTTTCGTGGTACATGAAATCTTAGGAACTTTCCCTTTGTCTTCTCAAAATCCTCGTTCTACACAGAAACAAAGCAAACTACCGCAAGCGTCTTCCTTTTGAGCCGAATTCCACTATCCCATTGTCTTCTTTGACATTTATGGGACCACAAATATCTCTGAAACCCTACACGGTCTTCCTTTTCGCTCGCACATCCCAAGAATGTCCACGTCTTCCGAGTCTTCGCAGACATTCACGTCTACAGCATCAACTACTATCTCCGAGCTCGCAGCTGAATGGTCGACAGCCTTAACGCCCGCATTTGTTGCGGGATGGAGATGATGCCAGGCATGAGGTTAGCATCGTTTAAGTTGCAGATCTAAATAAGCAAAATTATTAAGAAATAGGATATACTTAAGAAAGCCATACGATATCGTTCAAACCTTAAATATCAATCAGCGGATTAGCTTAAAAAAAATTAGAACAACATAAACATACAGAGGTAACATCGGTGACTGGCGAGTTTGAGCAAAAGGGTGACTTTATGTATGACGGTTAGAAGTTCGCAAGATATATACCTTCATAATACCCTCACATTTGGATGCCTACTATCGTGGATATGAAGTAGAACTCGAAGACCAACTGCATTGGTGGTAGCGAAGAAAAAGCACGCACGCAGGGCGCTCGGCGAGGAAGCCCTGATTGGCTACTTCGTCGGTGAAGGCTGCAAAACGAGACGTTTTCTCTTTCCACCAACACCATGCCCTCTCAAAGCCACCATGCGGACATAGGCTTCTCTGGCGACGAAGATAGCGGTGCCTCTTAACCTCCTTAGTCGTTTTCAGTCCCCAGTTTACTCACCAAAAAGAGGTGAAGAATCAGGCGGCTGACGAAGATCATCCAACCAATGGCAAGTGTTTAATCACACATCAATCCATCCCAATTCAAGTGTGTTAGTTCACTGCGATGCTGACTCTTCTCCTCAGTTGGACGCCCTAGAATAGTGGTGGGGTAAGGAGCACAAGACTCTGAACATTGCTACAAGTTCTAATATATTCTTTCGTATGTGTTTCTCAATTTGCTTAACACGTATCTACTCAGCTCGCTTATGCAGTGCGCACCGATCTTCATATCCTCTTCATTACTAGTTACTGGATGCTTATACCGGATATCCCAACCATTAGACTTGTCGCTTCAAACTTATGAAGCAGCTAAATAAGACCCTGAAGAGTTACTTCAGGGTCTTCGATAGATTGACGTCGTTAATCCCAGTTTGTGCCAGGCTTATATCACAGGAACCTTCTCGTACTACCTAGTGTCTCTCCAACCTATGCACCAGGATGAAATCACCCGCGTTGACGGGGATATCGATGCCTGTTCACCGTCACTAAGTTTTATTCACCACCAATATCCATTTCAGGATCTCAGACCCCTAGAGTCACATAGCACCTCGTTGGGTGATGTATGACGCTGGCGAAAACCTGGACAAGTTCTCCGCCGGCGAGCTTATGAACATGCTGCCAACCTTTGCGGAATGTATGGGGATCCAGCTTGGGGATACGGTATTGATGGCCTCCAAGCTCATGACTTTGTTCGCCAGCTGTAGTCGTCCAATCCCTCCCACATTCATTCAACCTCGCTCACGGAAATATTCCTCAACAGCAGGTGGTTATTCAACTAGCACTGTGTCTTCCCGAGATAGCCTCGATGGAGATCAGAAAGAGACCGACTATTTCGACTCCGGTGACGAAGTTGAAATGGTCAAGTACGTTGCCAGGAATAACAAGGTCGTGTCGCATTGGCGGGAAGCCATTACTGAAGCCATCGAGCGCCAAGGAGGATTGGACCAGTAGGCTCTAAACGATAAGCTGATTGGACGGTATGCTGGGAAACGTCTTCGGTCTTCACGTCAAGAATCTTGGGCAACTTGGTATCCAACTTGGATAAGGCGCGGTTTGCCCGATATCCACAAGCCGCCTCCAGACATGAGCAAAATTTCGATCAATGACTGGGCCCTTAAGGAATAGTCTCAGTTGACCACAACCTGAATCTTATGGAATCAACCAGTAGGAACGCAGTTCTCAATAAGTTATTTGCTTTGAATTGTTGTCTTTCGTCACTCATGTTTTGCTCTATCCGCTCTATATAAATATAATAGACATTATATCAGATATTTATGCCATTGCAAAATTCAGTTAATCATGTTACCTGAGTGAGTGAAATCTAATTATTATAACTGTGCGTGGAAGAGGCTGCTCTGCTTTTGTTCGTGCTTGGCCAGGCACGACAAGGACCGAATCCTCCCGTGGTTTATTTCCATATGCGATTCGACGTTAATTTGACCTTTTGTCCACAATTTTTGTCATTAACATCTCACTGTTCGTGTTCTTCAACTTAACAGGCAAAAAATCAGGATATTATTGTCGCCGTTCTTATGCCCAGCCAAGTACTTAGTCCATAACTAGAGCGCTCACCCCATTCCGAAACCAGCGACGTCTGATTCATCATACATGGGTGCGCTTTATGAAAACTCAAGCATAACAAAAGCTCCCCTATTTCGGCATGCAATCATATACTAATGTCTCCTCGAGCCTCAGTCTTAAGCCTCAACGTCCCTTTCGTATCCAGTGCCGATCGTGCGGCGCGTTCCATCAAGTTCGTCTTGTTTCAAGTTCGTTGAATTAGTATTAGTCAACCTACAGTCACACAGATTGGCTTTGCACGGCTTCATTGTGGATTTTTATAAGTTGTGAGGCTCTCAGCTGAACATCAACCTTTCCAAATCAAGACACATGCCGCTGTATATTACCTGAAAAGGACAGCTATTGATCTGGTCGAAGTTTGGAAGACCACTCACAAAATTCGCTAGATAGCTAAATAGTCACTAGTCAGGCAATGACTGCAGCATACTACTACGCATTTTGTCCTTGAACAAGCTAGACTTTCGACGATCATGCCGTTTAGATTTTGGTAATGAAGACTACCAGATGATATAAAACATATTTATTAATGTGTAGTAGGTAATTTATTCTGGTAAATATCTTCAAGAGCTCCAATCACCTGCGTCGTTGTCATTTTGTGTCGAGCCTTTTATAGTGACTTTTAAGTGTTTTGACCCTGTGAAATAAAGAATACACGTACCATCAGGCCATACTGGACCTCCTGGGAAGGTGTACGTCGTGGGAACAGGGTAATAGATGTCCTAACAAGCCACAGATTAAAAAATGGCAAATTACTGATGCCGAACTACGCACAATGGTGATCCCGGGGTCGCTACCTGCGTAAGCACCTGGGAAACTTACACCGGTGGGAGTTCCGCTGCCGCCGTTGGTAACTTGAATTTGGACACAGCCGATGTACTAACCAAACACAATTTCAGAAACATGTATATAATAACCATTTAGATTTCTACTTACGAATTGAGCACCAGGATACGTTGATGCAACGTGAAGACCAATGGTCTCAACACGAAGAAGATATTGACCAGACGGGATCTCGGAGGGGATGGTGAACTCGTATAAACCGGTGGGGAGAGGCGAAGACCATCCGCCGGCATTGGCGACAAGGGCTGAATTAACAATTCCTTGTTGGGAGATCTAACAAAATCGAGCATGTTAGTCGGTATTGCATAAAGAAATAAATAAAAAAGCCATTCGTCATACCTTCGTCCAAGATAATCCAGTGATAGTCGATGTTGTTGCGTTATCAACCTTGGCCATATAGACGAGGTTAGGTCCGGGGTGAGCTCCCTGATCCCATTGTGCACCGATGGTGGCTCCAGCGGGGATGGAGGTGATGCCAGGCATGGGGTTTGCACCGTTTACGTTACAGATCTAACGAATAAAAATTTAATAAGAACTAGGATTTAGTGAAGAGAGCCATACAAGATCGTCCTGACACAGAAGATCAATTAGCGGATGAACAAATAGTGAAACAACGTAAACGTACAGAGGTAACATCGGTGACTGGCGAGTTTGAGGGAGGCAAACGAACACTGTCTGTGACAGGAGCTCCTCCATTAACGCTAATGGACGTCATACGAACATGTGCGAATGCTGGAACAGCAAGGAGGAGCGCAGAAAAAGCCTTGAAGCCGAACATCTTGGCGACGGTGAATGAGAAAACCTGGACTGCAGGATGGGGAATACTGACCATCTGAGGATCCATTTTATACCATTCATGAGTTTATTATTAATTTTTTATACATTTGCGCTTCACAAGAAACTGGTCGAAGAGGAGACGACGCCACATCCCGAACTGAAACCGTCATTTCACCGTTTTGGTTGCTACGGCCAAATAGGCTCCACCAGTGCCGACCAATGCTTAGTAGGGAGATATCCGGTTGCTAGACATACGCAGGCTCCATCTCGTTCAATAATGAGCTGTCGAATTTCTTCAACATCCTGATTCCTTTGTGCTGGCTTGGAGATGATGATCTAGCACAGAAAGGACTTCGCGCATATGACGGTTAGACGTTTTTAAGACATATACGTTTGCCTGACCTTCGTCTTTCGCTGCCTACTATCATGG